TTTTTTTTTTAAACAAGAAACAACCCGAGTGAGTGCTAGGGGTGCTGGATAGGGGCAGACACCACTAGCATGCTCGGGGAGGCTCCATCTATTGGTGGGGAGCAACACCTGCTGGAAACCGGGTCCAGCAGATGTCCCGAAGGACATCTATGATACTTTTTTTTTTCTTGTTTCTTGTTTTCGAAGGCTGTCTTCTCCTCATATGGGGGGCAGATTCCGTATGTATTTTTTAATATATATGCCCGGTCCCCAACTGGAACCTCCCTGTCTGCGGTTTACCCTACCTGCAGCCTGAATCTTGAAACAAGGGAGGAATCATGAAATAGGATGGAGTCCTGGTCATGAACTACGTATCTTACAGAGATAAGGAGGAAGGATGGGAAGATGAGGCCTGTCAATCACAAGAGATGAAGATAAAGTCCAAAAAGCATCCTTACCAAACAAATACCAGCAAGAGATCCCTTCGGCCTCAGTAAGGCACGAAGAATACACTACACGAGAATTCACCACCGACAAGGGCGCCTTCGGCTAGGACAAAGAGTAGATGATGAAATTGCCAATCAATAAATGGCATGGCAAGTGGTCTGAAAATAAGGGTCTCCGCTGGTGAGCCCTAAGCTTGTCATGGGGACCGCAGGGAGTCGACCGGACGATGAGGAGAATCGATCCCACGGCCTCCTGAATGCCACTTATGTGCTCAAACAACTGAGCTAGGCCGCTTGGCCTGGTCTATGATACTATTTTCTTTTCGTTGTTTTTTTTTTTTTCAAATTATGATACCTTTTCTTGTTTTTGTTTTTAATGATACCACTCTCGTTTTTCGAACTCTTTTCAAATTATGATACCATTTTCTGCTGCAAAGTTGCAGTTCAAAGTGTTGGACTCATCCCAATCCAGATGGCGTCCAGATGCATGTAGTGTGTTGTGTAGTGGAGTGAGGCCCGATTTGCTAACAAATAGAACCTGCGTGACTCATCCTCACTCCGGCATCGCCCTTCTGCATCATCCAGAAAAGCATACTGATGGGTCTCATTTTCTTGTTGGCTGTGGTTATGCTCTGCGTTTTGGTATTTCTTGGGGTTTGAGCACAGGTGACTGAGCTGCGTGAGAAAATGATCTCCTCTGGCATGCCATGGCCAGGGGATGCAGGGGAGCAGCGATGGGAGGAGGCGTGGCTAGCAATCAAAAGGGTGAGTAATAATTCCTTTACTTGTTTTCTTTGTTTTTTAATCAGTTCTTATCGGAGGAGGTGTGTCTAGCAATCAAAAGGGTCAGTATTCTTTTTTTTTTGTTGAAAAATCAGTTCATAGGGCATTGCTCTGTTACTCACCAAATGTGCGAAATGAGAATGAATCTTCCGCTAGAACATGGGGGGATGCACCGGCATAATTTTTGTCTTTTGTGCATGCGGTGGTTAGTGGAGCGAGAGGCTCATATATTCATTTCCAAAGTGACCGAGGCTGAGCGAGTCAGTATTTGTATTTCCATCTGAGCTGTGGCTATAAATAAGAAAAGTTAGAAAACTTCATGCGAAGTTGCAAACTCAATAGGACTTTTTCACTTATTTGTGGACGTAATTGCGGTCACTTATTTCTGGATGTAATTGGTGGATGTGATTGGGGTTGGATACATCCAGGTCTGGGCTTTAAATGCGACCAGATACATTTAAGATAGAGCTACTGTGACTATGCCCTTACTCATTGCTGACCGCATTTGTTCTTTTAATTTGAAAAATGGACGTTTAATGATGAAAGAGAGTGGCAGAGTGCTGTATATACTATATAGTGTGTATTCCATGCCGTACATTTTGTGTACAGTTCTTTTTGGGTCTTAGTCAATTTTTGCACATTGCTGGTTTTTTTTTTTTTTGGGGGGGGGGGGGGGGGGKTTGGAAGGGGGGGGTGCTATAAAAGTGCTGCCGAGTCATGGTCTTTGTAAAACAGGCCACACCAGGAAAAACGTTGAGAGGACTGAATGGGGAGGGAATTTACTGTATAGGAAGTGTTTATTTGTGGCTGGGGGAGGGAATTTACTGTATAGGAAGTGTTTATTTGTGGCTGACGAGTGCTTGCTGTTGCGAATTCGGACATGTAGTTTCACTTAACGTCAAATTATTCGCTCGTGTTTTCTTCTCTCTCTCTCTCTCTCTCTCTCTCTCTCTCTCTCTCTCTCGCAGGTTTGGGCATCTAAATGGAACGAGAGGGCGTATCTGAGCACCAGGAAGGCTAAGATCAATCATGACCTAGTCTGCATGGCTGTGCTTGTGCAAGAGATTGTTCAAGCAGACTATGCGTTTGTCATTCATACCACCAACCCATCCAATGATGACGCCTCAGAAATCTATGCTGAGGTATGTGTCTGGCAACTCACATGACTTATCTTTTTTGCCTTTTTTCCTTTCTTGTTTTCTTCTTTTTTTTTTTTTGAAATAAAGTGCAGATCATAGTAGACTCACTCGCCTTCTGATGTTACCTATGTCAATGCGAATGGAAGAAAAAGAACAAGTCGATTATTTTGCTTACCAGAAAAATTGAAGCTCTGTGTCCTTCAAGACATTCTGTTAAAATAGGAATGGTATAGAGAAGTAGGAATGGTACAAAGAAGATTAGCATGATTAGCATGGCCGCTGTGCAAGGATGACAACCCATAAATCGTGAAATGGAATGCATGTAGCCACGCATGGAAGGAAAAAAAAAAGACATGTACCGGCAGGCCACTCACGTGCCAAAGTTTTGAAGGCAATAAAAAGAGACGCAGCGGTTTTTAATTAGCACGGATGTCATAACGACTGGGTCTGGCCGTAGTGAGCAGAGCGCCTGAGTTCAGAAACGGTATAAAAAATTAAAAATAAAATAAAAAAGAAGACGGCTATTTCTGCATTTTTCAAGTTTTGTGCATATGCCATATGGCCGCTGTGACATTGCTTTTTTGCGCATTCTGCCAGCTTGACAAAACGACAGGGGCTGGCCTCAGTGTGCAGAGGGCCTGTGAATTCAGAAACGGTGAGATGTTATGATCCTGGCCAATTCCGAAGTACACATTCATCAGAAAGTACAATGCCTTCCAATTGCAAAAAGAAATGAATGAACTTGAGAGAGGAGAGAGGGAAAGAAGGAAAAAAAGATGAAAGAAAGAAGAAGAAAAAGATACCAGAAACGGTGAGATGTTATGATCCTGGCCAATTTCGAAGTACAGATTCATCAGAAAGTACAATGCCTTCCAGTTGCAAAAAGAAATGAATGAACTTGAGAGGAGAGAGAGGGAAAGAAGGAAAAAAAGATGAAAGAAAGAAGAAGAAAAAGATACACCAGCAAAGACCAATGAGAATTCCCTTCTTCTTCGCCAACCACTCTCCTCATCTGCTCCCCTCCTATTCAAACAAGAAATAATGTCCGAGTCCCTCTTCTACTGTAGGCATCACATGAGGTCCACCATAGCCATGGCCACCCTTCTTCCTCCTCCTCTCCCGGCTGGCTATGGCAGACTACCAGGGCACCGCCCTGCTGTGCAAAGGACAACCCAAAACAGTTATGGCTGCTCTATCTCAGGCCGCCATGCCTGCCTCTGCCTCAAAGCTTCTTGGTGCAGCTCTACCCCAACGGGGGCCTTCCAGATGCAGCGCCCACCAAGGTGATGAAGATGGTATCCACCATAGCCAGGTAAGTACCTCTGGTGCTCCTCCCTCCTAGCCCTGGTCTTCTTCCTTCTCCTGTCCTTGCTCCTCCACAGCATGCTAGCACTGCTCCAGCCAGTGCTCCAACCAGTGTGTTGCCAAAACTTGCACACCGACAATGAGGAGGAGCTCTTTGCTCCTCCTGGAGATATAGCGGCCTGCTTGTGTCTTGGCGAGTGACTTCCCAGGCTGCGCGGTCTCCAAGCAACCGGTACCTCCTCCTTTTCAGAGGGAAACATCATTGCAGAGTCTGATATTGCCTATACAGGCCCTAGACTCAGACTGGTTGGACTGGTACCCGCCTAGACCTAGCCTACAACTACTGGGCTCTAAAAATGCCAAGTTTTGTCTTCTTCTGCTTGGCCTCGAGTACCCGGCACATCTACCTCTACCTGGTGTGGTACCTGCTACTTGAGTGTTTTCCGCTGCTCTCAAGTGTCACGGGCATCTTTCCCCGCCACTTGTGTTTTCCTCGCTGCAACCCTCGTTGTCATGGCCACAGGTAAGTACCGGCCCTTTGGGCCTTCTGAAACAAGTGCCCTTGCGGGTCACACACACACTCAAGCCGACAAGCACTCAGACAAGCATGCAGACCAGCAAGCATGCACCGACACAGACTTAGGAAACTCAGCAACAAGCAGGAAACTCAGCAAGGCATACATTCCATGAGCAAAACTCAGAAATCAGCTCTCTCAGTCCGTGTTTGGCAGGTCATTACAGAGAGAAAAAAAGTCGGCTAGTTTTGCGTTTTTGCGCATACTGCCGCTGTTGACAAAAGTCTACCCATAGTGTGTGGAGGGCCCGAGTTCAGAACCGATGAAAGGAAGAACTGGCTATTTTAGTATTTTACTATTTTTGCTTTTTGCACATACTGCCGCCATGACAAAACTGCACTAAGTCTTAGGGTGTGTTTTTTTCGTACTTGGAACTTAAACCACGACCCGGACGTAGTTGTTTCAAAAAAAGGAAAATATGACAAAACAAATGAATGGATGTAATTGGAGACTATGTAATCAACCAAACAAACAGGTTAGCCATGGCTACCACCCGGGCTGCCCGGTCACCCTATTTTCCCGGGCGGCCAGGGGAAGGTCCCAGCAAAAAAAAAAAAAAAAAAGTTAAAATCCGAAAAAAAAAAGAACTATGTTGTGCAGAAAAATAAACTGAACAACTTTTGCCTCAGGGTCGCATCGAAATTCCTTACCAAATTTAAAGAACTAGAATTTTTTTTATTTTTATTTATTTTTTTTTGGACCGGCCGGGCAAGTTGGCCCGGTCGACTCTGGTAGCCTAGGTTTAGCTTTTTTATTTTTTTTTGCCTTCTCCTCATCGGTGGACAGCCATATATTTTTCTCTCACCTCACATATTTTTAACGGGCGTTCTGCCATGTCATCATGGAACATATCTTTACTATTCTTTAGCCTTTTAATTTTTAACCGGTGGTGGGCTATGTTTGTTGAGTAACAACCAACCAGTAGCTGCTGTGAGGCGTTTTGTGATTCATGGAGACTACACCCCATGTTTTCCAGATTTTTGTTGGAGTCTCAACCCAAGTGGAGTTTTGGACAGAGCCCCATCTATTCCCAGATATGTAGCCTGACACTGCAGAACAAAACATTCTGTTTTTTTTTTTTTTTTTTTTTTTTGAAACAAGTGTGGATGTGGCAGGTCGCAAAGACGAACGGGCAAAAAAAATACTCGTGGGTGAAACAAACAGCCGCCGAGCTAGAATGGGCTCGTGCAGGCGAAATCGAGCCATTGGACCCTTAGCCCTTTCTTCTTTTTTTTCCCCTTTCCCGTCTGATACCCTAACCCGCCCCTGTAGTTATGACACATGTGCCTCTGTCACGGCCGTGGTACTTTCATTGCCTTTTCAAACTCGGCAGCTGTTTTGTTTCCCCGCACGTGTTTTTTTTTAACACCACAACATTCTGCTTCTGATACCTGCTGGTTTCAATAAACATAAGCAAAACTCAAAGCAAATAGGTGTGGGGAACTGGACTGGAACTCGAGAGCGACTTAAATGCAGTGCTCCGCTTTGATGATTTGGAAAAGAAGCGTAGACTGAGGCCAGAAGATACAGAACAAAATAAATAACCAACCAAATGGGAGGAGAAACGAGCCTCAGTGCGAAATGCAAAATGCGAATGGAAATCTCTTCAGTGCTGATTTTCTGTTACATGCACGTTGCAGGTGGTGAAGGGCTTGGGAGAGACCCTTGTGGGAGCCTATCCAGGAAGGGCACTCAGCGCTGTTGCAAAGAAGTCGAACGTCCACGCACCTAAGGTAACAACTCTGCTTCTCCTTGACAACAACATCATCAACAAAATGTCGGCTCAGTGTTACGTCCCAGATTGTTATATGTCTGCTGTCTGTCTTTATTTTGCTCTCTCTCTCTCTCTCTCTCTCACACACACACACACACACACACACACACACACACGCACACACACATACACACACCACACACACACACACACACAAACACACACGCACAGGGGTACCCCAAGGACAACCAAAAAACTGTCTAATTATAAAATTGCCAAATTGGCAAATAGCTGTAATATGTTGGACTGTGACTGTCTCATCTCAAATGCTCTCGTTGTCTGCAATAGGACAAGGACTGCTTTGATTCTGAATCTAGTCATCTGGGTGGAATTGGGGCTGTTGTGGGGAAAATCTATAACACACACACACACACCCCTGCAGGCTTGAGTCAAGTCCCTCCGGCTCAAGTCCCACTCTACTCTGTACCTATCAACCTCTCATCTCAGCTGGTGGTCCCCAAGTGTGCCGCAGGGGGCCGTGGGGAGTCTGATGGATGACGGGGGAATCGAACCCATGACCTTATGAATGTCACTTATGTGTTCTAGCAACTGAGCCCGCCTGCCGGCCCGGCTCCTGTCTGGAATTTTGGCAAGCTGAGTCACAGCTGATATGATTTCATTGTTTCACCAATTTGCGTGTCTTCAATGTATGTTTGTGTTGTTTGTGTTGTTTGTGTTGCTTGTGAAGGTTGTCGGTTTCCCTAGCAAACGTGTCGGCCTTTTCACACCGCCATCCATCATTTTCCGATCCGACTCCAATGGTGAAGATCTGGAGGGCTATGCTGGAGCAGGGCTGTATGACAGGTACGTCATATCATATTGTTCTTCCATGTCTGTCTCTTCAGCTGTGTCTATAATGAATGTTAATTTTGAAGTGAAGTTTACCACAATCTGTTAATATATATGACATAAATAGGGATGGTGGGAAAAATTTAGTAAATACTAAATAGTGGTAAATACACAGGTGCAAGGAAGATGAGCAATAGCGAACTTCAACAATCAAACAGCATCATACACATGAGACCAGATAGTCATGACCTCGAACCAATAGCAGAATTGCATCACGAGTTTCACCAAATAAGAGCACACCAAAAGCTCGTAATTGACAATGCTGGAATAGTCTCATCATCATCAACGAAGAACCAATGTTGATATCCTATCTGGCGCTCGGCGCCCAGACTATGAATGGAAGATCCTATCTAGCCTAGACTACAATTCTGCTGATGACGTCAACAGCTTCCCGAGTATGAGCAGATCTCGGCCAATGCCGCACGCGTCAAGCGCCAGGTATGTCTCTCGTATCACTCACAACCTCGTTCCCCAACTCAAAGATGCCACTTGCACCCAAGGACCACCATGTGCCCCATCCAGCATACAGCAGCGCAGCTCGGCTATGGCTGCCTGCTCCTTCCAGCTCGCCCGTGAGCGCGTGAGCCTGGCCAGCGTTAGCACAGCAGCGCTTGCGCAGCATGCAGCCAGTGCCCGAATGTCCAATGCGTGGGCTTGCCCTTTCCTAAACGGAAGTGGCCAGCCTGCTTGCGTGCAGCCTGGCTGTGCTGGGCCCCTGCCCAGAAGCTTCCAGTAGGCCCAGGGAGGCTGAGCCTCACACCAAACGAATCAGACCCAGGGCTACTCGTGCCCAACTGCCCGCTGTCTGAGTTGGGTTGATGCTGCGTATCTTGCCCAGGGCCTGACTTAGATACATTCGGTAAAGGAGGCCAGGGCCTGGGCGCCTTCAACCAACTGGCGCTGCGCAACTGCCTGAATTTCCCTCAGTTGCGAAGTAGTCCAAAATAGGCCTCTTGTCGTCTGTCGAGCCTGCCTTCACTTAGGACGGCCGACCTGTTGCAAACAAGGGCCCAGTGGGGCTTATCGAGGCCTATGCCTCGCACAGGGCTGTATGACAGGTACGTCATATCATATTGTTCTTCCATGTCGGTCTCTTCAGCTGTGTCTATATTACTCTATAATGAATGTTAATTTTGAAGTGAAGTTTACCATAATCTGTTAATGTATATGGCATAAATAGGGATGGTGGGAAAAATAGTAAATACTAAATAGTGGTAAATACACACCAAAACAAGAAGCAAAATGGAACTGTATATAACAAGCATTTTAACCAAAAAAAATTGAAAAAATGCTTGAAAGTTGAAATAATAGGACCACTTATATGATGTAAACACTGAACAGGGATGGTAGGAATACCAACAAACAAAATGAAACTGTGCATAAGTGGCATTTTATGATTTTAGCCTAGGAAGATTTTCATGACCGGCGGGTCTGGACTGGCCGGTCACATGACGCCCAGGTGACCCAGTCATGGCAAAAAAAAAAAAAAAAAAAAAAAAAGAACTGGCGTTGGGGCCGCCTGAAGTTGTTTCACATATAGTCTCTGAGGAATCGTGAGGATCCTACACAGACATATGTTGGTTTCCTGAGGATTATGCCACACGTCGAACGGCTAACAATCTGGCGTGTAAACTTTGTGCCAGTCTTGTCTGAAGTGCACGCATCTTACCATAATTCTTTGAAAGCGAGGCCTTGTAAATCCTGGTCTGGAATCTGAAGACAAAACTCTMGACTGAAGTCCAAGGAATTTTGCCCCAGTAATCCGTTTGAACGTTTAAATACATTCCCAAATCCGGGCTCTTTTCTTTTTTTGAGTGTTGGCTGTCAAAGGGGGGAAAAGGGAGTTTAAATGAATTTTAAAGGGGCTAAAGGGGTTTAAACTAAAGAGGGGTGCCTTAGTGTGATATGGTTATTTTCTTTTTTATCTTTAGTTCTGTGAGGAATTCTGATGTGACCCTCAGCCAAAAGTTGTTTGTATTGCAATTCTACACAACATATTTTTTTTAAAGATTTTTTTGGATTTTTTTGGATTTTTTTTTTTTTGCGCTGAGGCTGCCCGGGGCCATGCCCGGGGGTCATGCCCGGCCGGTCACCCGGTCGCCAATCCGGGCGTGACATCAGGACCCGGGCGCCCGGGAGATCTCCCTAGATTTTAGCCAAAGAAATGGTTGAAATAATAATAGTTTTATAAATTTATGATACCACTTTTACTGGGAGGCACATTTTTACTACTAGCCTGATCGTAAAGCAATGGCTTCTGTCCCCAAACCGCCCCCCAACCATCCCTTTCCCCTAGGGAGGGGAAATTGAAAATCCAACCATGATACCAAAACCGTTGGCCGATAGTCAGATCGCCTTCATGGTTTGTTTGCTTCATAATTAGAATGGACCTGAATCACGAACCTGTTTGCTTAATTGATTCTGGAGAAGAACAGTGAAAACCACAAAACAAACCTGTCTGCTTAATTCTGTGTAATCGGGCCGACTTCCAGTCTAGATGCAGAGAAGAGGACTGTTAAGTTTTGTTCAGTGGAAGACACTTGGCTACGGACCTTCAACCCACTTGTCCACTTGGCTACGGACTGCTTCTAAGACTCTCGAAGGGGCAGTCCGAGAAGACCCTAGACTTACTGCAGTGGCTATGACCAAGGTTGACCCTTCAGACCTACAGCAGCTACTACCGGACTCCTATCCTCTCCTATCCTACAGGTAAGCAGCTCGAATCTACTCAACTTTCGTATGGACAACAGCTGCCTACAGACAGCTTTGCGGGCAAGTCACGGATTCAAACCTAGGTTGGGCAAACTGTATTGTACACGGGTTCGGGACAGGTCTAGGGATTGAGCCCTGGGATCTGCATCTGCTACTGCAAAGGTGAAAACCGTTTCACTTTCTGCACAACTACCTTCTTCCCCCGAATACAACGTACGGTCATTATAGCTGTATTTAGACTGAAAGATACCCCAAATTCGGCTATAATGACCGTACGTTGTATTGGGGAAAGACAGTAGTTTTTTTCCTTGGCTTTTTTTTTTTTTTTTTTTTAATAACCTGCCCGCCTGCCTGGCCAGGTAACCAAGGTTACCCAGGCGGCCAGGTTTAATAACCCGGCTCCATACTAGACGCCAATTTTGAGTCTGCAGTGCGCTTCAGGTGTGTTAGGTACATGTGCCGGTAAGTACGTCAGTAATCAACGTAAATACAGAGAAGACGTTGCTTCGGGCCTTGCCACAGCTGGTCTGGTATCCCACCTACTAGAGGTCAGATGCTCTGAATCTCTGATGCATGGCAGGTCAACTGCTCTGACGCATGGCAGCAGTAAGCCAAACTATGTAGGCATTATATTAGTAAAGAGCAAGTGACTTCCCGTACCTTGCTTCTTGATGTGTGCTCATAGCAGATGGCCTTGCACCGTCGTCATTTTCTCGAAATTTTTTCTTTTCTGGTTCCTTTATGTGGCCTTTGAGCGCTCACGCGCCTATGGGGCAAAAGGCATTCAAAGTTTCTTGTTTGAAATAATCGAAACACATCAAGAAGCGAATCTGTTGTTTCGGAATTACAACAACTCATGAGTTCTCAAAAGGCTCTGCTGTCAGAGTTTAACATGCCTAGTCTTTTCTTGGGCTTAGACACGTTTCAAAAGAAGTTCACTAACTTCACTTGTTGTTTGTGAGGGACTCCCGGCCTCAAGTTTGGTTTATGAATTTTGAAATGGATTCGTTTCTTTGTTTGAAAAAAAGAACAACACATCTGACTGTCACTTGTATGTATGGATGTGTGTCTGTCTGTCTCTCTGTCTTTTTTCTAGTCCCTTTTTTTTTTTCTAATCCGTTTTTTTTTTCTAATCCCTTTTTTTTCTTTTCTAATCCCTTTTTTTTTCCCTTCTAAATGGGGTGAGTTGGGCACCTGTGTCTGACTCTCGTCTTTGCGTCTGTGCATGTACTGCGTTCAGTGTGCCCATGGATGCAAATGAGGAGAAGTTTGTTGACTACTCGACAGATCCGTTGGCCACCGATAACCAATTTCAGCAAAGAATTCTCAGCAAGATCATAGAGGCTGGATATTTGGTTGAGCAGGTTCTGGGCTCGGCGCAGGATATAGAGGGTTGCATTAAGAAAGAGGATTTGTGCATTGTACAGACAAGGCCACAGATGTAAAGACAGCGGGACGAGCGACAGTCAGGCATATGTACAAATTCATTGGGCCAGGCTTGTGGGAACACCTATGCCGAGGACCTATGGGCTGCCTCGCTGCACTTCTCAACATTCGACAAGTATCTGGACGGGAGCTGGACCAGATTCATTTGGACAGATCAAACATGTCCACTGTATTGGGACCACTTTCAGCTCCACATGTGTTTAGAATGTTGTGCGGTGGAGCAAGGAACTCGTTGTCTATTTGTTTGGATGGTGGTGGCTGGTGAAAACGACGAGGGAAGACGAAGAGTGTTGACAGTTGCTTGTGGTAGGAATTGGAATTTGGAGTGATTGGCGAAGTCTGCAGGTTGAGTTTGATTTCCGATTAGCTTTCGTCTACTGTCACTCTAAACTGGCTAGACCTGCATCACCCTCCTTGTTTGATTGTGTGATGTGCTGAGTTTGTACCACTGTATGGCGCGTGTCCATGGCTGTGTCCATGGCTTAGTCGTGGTTCGGGTCCGTTTGATCATGGTTTAGATGTTTATACAGTCCTTGTTATCATGGTTTAGATGTTTATACAGTCCTTGTTCTCAGAGTATATGGTGTCATGTGCAGCTTGACATTGAATGAAAACCCTGTCAGTGAAGACCGCCTGCAAACAAGTGCCTGATAAGTCCGTGCAGAAGACGGGCATCCAAGGAATCGGTCAGTGAAAGGCAGAGAGAGAGAGAGAGAGAGAGGCCAAAAATCCAGGCTGGCGAAGGCAGTGCCCCTGTTCACAGAGAGAGAGAGAGAGAGAGAGAGAGAGCAAAAATCCAGGCAGACCACGAGGCCAAGAATCCAGGCGAATGGCCCTCATTTGTACATGTGTCAATCATCAAAACAGTGATGTGGAGTGCAGCATAGGCGAACATCATGGTGGTCAAGGCTTGTACTCCTTCCAGGAGTAACTGCCAAATGTATATGCTATTATGCCTTCGTTTCTTGGTGACATAACCGTGCACATTATTCAGACGTTGGTTGGAACGTAGTACCAGCCATCATCAGGCGTTGTTATTCCACCCAAAAGTTACAGACTAGAGGAATACTGTGTAGGTCTATTTTGCAGTTTGTGTGTGTGTGTGTGTGTGTGTGAGAGAGAGAGAGAGAGAGAGAGTATTTTACCAACTGGCAGCTTGGTAGAATGCATGCAATGCAGGCAGCAGGGCAGTTTGATGATTGTTGCGCCATCATCGACCATGGCATGGATATGTTGCTAGGTTCTGCGAATGTGGATGGCATATTGGCATTCTCCCCTCCCTCGGGCAGTCCAGGTACTGTTGCTATCTCATTGCGTTGAGTGGATTTTCTTGCATGGCACACATTCCTCTCCTTTGGCAGGTTCGTGCCGTAAATTGTGCACAGCTGCTACTTCCCTGAGAACAACTGTCTTCACCTGAATAGAACGCACTGTATCTGGGACAACTTGATGTCCAGATGCACTGATGATGACTGGGCGTTCTATTATTTTATTGAAAAGTGATTGACAGTTTTGCCACGAGTCGAGGAGTGGCTCTGCCGCCTTGTATTGCGAAGCGTGATTGCACCGCCACAGTCCTCCTGCAGTTCGCTGCACATTCATCTCCTCTGGTAGGTTGCAACTTCTGGATGTATCCGTCCACACATTGAGATTTTCTGGATGTATCTGTCAAGATTTTCTGGATGTATTCGTCGACATTTCCTGGATTTGGTTTGCGCAAGTTCTGGATGTTTGCTACGTCAGCGGTTATCATTCCGTTGATGAGCGCAAGCTGTTATCATTGCGTTGATGAGCGCAACTCCACGAATCCACACACACAGACGCAGGCTCGACCGAGGACAACAATCAACCAATCAATCTGCAGCCGGAGTCGTGCATGTGGATGAAAAGAAGGAATATCTGAGCCCTTCTCAAGTGCCTATTGTTGAAATGTCATCCTCATTAATCGAAAGTCTAGTGGCGGTCTATTGTTGCAGCCGGAAGACAATAATAGTGATTGACTGTGCCATTGCGATAATGTTCTGCCAAGAAAGGAAAGAGTGAGCGAGCGGCATATGTAAATCGCTGCAGCGTCAGAGACCCAAGCGCAATGCTTCTGATTGACCGATCTGGTCTCCAGAATCAGACTGAGCGAGAGAGGTGCTCTCACGTCCAGCATCAGACTGACCGGGGGAGGTTTTCTCAGCTCATTCCGACGTCGTCTTTGTCACTCCGGGTCGGCGAGTGGTGGTCGGATGCCGTTCCCAAGCATAACATGCGTCGTGGTAACCTTCATCCCAGAGATGTTTACAAGATAGTGTTCACGCACAGGCAGCATTGTGATGGGCGAGAAGTGGCGCAAGTTCTTGCAACGCTGAAGTTATTTAACCCCGTTTCTTCGTCTTCAGCAATTGTGTCTCCATGTGCTGAAGGGAATGGAATTTGTTTTGCGCATTGCAGTGTGCTGCTTTAGCTGCCTTCGCAACAGTTACTGTGGTAATGGTAAATGGTAAATGGTAAATTGTAAATGAGGCTGAGAGTCGGAGAGCTCCAGGTTCTTTGTGTGATATGTTGGCTATCACATTTTGCTTGTACAGGGGTATCCAATTTGTTGTGACCTCATTCAGCAACAATCGACGGACTGTAATTTTTCAGTGCAATTGATGGACTGTAATTTTTCGGTGTGAGCAAAGGTATGGTTGTCTGTAGCTCTTATGCATTTCTTTTTTTTCTCCTTTTTTTTTTTTTTTTTTTTTTTTTTTCATCCAGTGTATTCCTGTTTCCATGTATATGACACGTTGATGCACAGAGAGAGAGAGAGAGAGAGAGAGAGTCCAACAGCAGGGTGCTGCCTGGTGCGCACACACACCCACACACACACACACACACACACACAGATAGAGACTCCGCCACTGGAACATCAGGGTGCTGCCTGATTTATCTCATGACCTTCATGATAGGAGATGTGCTGCCTGGTGCACACACACACACACACACACACACACACACACACACAGAGAGAGAGAGAGAGAGAGAGAGAGAGCCCACCACTGGAACAGCAGGGTGCTGCCTGATTTATCTCATGACCTTATGATAGGAGATGGAGGAGAGAAGGGACGAGGGGCTGGGTGTCTTAGGAAACACGCCTTTCGTTTTTTTTTTTTTTTTTTTTTTTTTGGAAACTTTCTGTTCTTTGGAGCAAGAGTTTCTGGAAGTTTCTTTGCTGGACAGTGGACATGCATTTCAATGTTGGCCGTTTGGAGAGGGATTGATGTGACAGTCCAGAAAGAAGATTAACGGGGGATGATTTCTGTTTTCTGGGGATATAAATTGAGTGCCACAAAAAATGCGGGAATCGAAAAATGTAAAGCCCAGGAAGCAAAGAACATTATGGGTTTGAAATTCGCCATCTTTTCAGCCAGATACATCATTAACTGGCTGCAAAAACGGCCAGGTACATTCAGGAGAGTACTGAGAGTCTGCCCTTTGTCATTGCAATTGATCATCCGAAATTAAGACTCAGGGCAAGTGGGACCTAGGGCATAGTCACACTAGGACTTGTTCTAACTGATCTCTGGTCCGAATTGCGGTCGGACGCATCCACAAATGTGGATCCCCGTAAGAACGACCAGATACATCCAGGAGAGCGCTGGCAAGAGTCTGCCCTTAGTCTTTGCAATTTGTGGTCAGAAATGAAGACTCCGGGCAAGTGGGACGTCTGCCCAGTGATTTAGGTTCAGGGCCTAGTTGCACCACTTGCCATCGGCCAAGATTTTGAATCCATCTGGCCAACTTCGCCGTCCATATGCTTCCAAAATGCTAGCGGATTGCTGCTATGCTGAATGGTTCACCGGTGAACTGTTGATAAACCGACCTAGAGCATGGTCCCACTAGCAACGGGGATAGGATGGAGATCCTGAATCTGGGCGTGTTGGTCCCACTAGCAACGGGGATAGGATGGAGATCCTGAATCTGGGCGTGTTTTAAGCACAGATGCAGAAAAGCAGTTCAATGAACTTCAATCTCGATTTCCTGCACCTCTCCATCAACTAGTCCAGATTCAGGCACTCGATCCGATCCTCTTTGCTAGTAGTGGGACTTCGCCCCTACAGACCTGAGTTCAATTCCTCATGTTATCCAATGAGAAAGAAAAAAAGAAAAAAAAAGAAACGAAAAAAGAGCCTGGGGCTGATCAGTTGAAACTTGAAACTTGAAACTTGAAAGGTGGTAAAGGCTGGTGCGGCAGTGGTGCCCTCTTGTTTATATAGTTTTTAAGAAAAGAAAAAGCAAAAGAAAAAGGAAAACCGAAAGATGTCATTCTTGTGTGGAATGTGACGTGGGTCTGCATTACTGAAGTGAGAGGGCAAGACGTGGCAGGGAGGATGAGAAACACATGACACAATTTGTTGAACTGTCACTCGTGGCAGGGAGGATGAGAAACACATGACAGAATTTGTTGAACTGTCAGTCTTGTGCGTCTGCCTCAAACCTTATGAAGGGGACAGTGGGGGAAGGGCCTTGGGGGGGGAGCACTGTGTCGAATGTCTGGGGATTAATATATCTGTTTGTGACGATATATATATATATTTTGGCAAACTGTCTTTTGGTCTTTTGGCGTTTGACCTAGGGGACCACCTCCGGGGTTAAACGTTGCGGGGTTGGGTTTGCAAGGTCACAGTTACCCATAGAGTGCGGTAACCTCGTTTTGGACAGATGAAATTGCCAGAAATGGAGGGTTTCATTCCGGTTAAGTGGGACCACACCTGTGTCATCTCAACGACTTCGAAGGCGTTCTAAGTTCTTTCTCAGACCCCTGCTAAAGGGAGAGGATGGCATGGCATGGCATGGGATGGGATGGGATGGGATGGGATGATAGAAGTGGGAGAAACCACCAAGTTGAACTTGGAGTCTGATGAATTGCCATTTACCCTGATGCAGTTGCCACTGAAACGAGGGACCCTAAATTGCTGAATGTAAATCTGTGAAGCAACAGTGTCGGGCTGTGAATGAGGCCAAATGACATGACTCAGGTCCTAGGGCCTACTCACAGTGCGACTGTGGCTTCCCTGGATGTGTAGGGCCGCCATTCCCACCACTCTCTCTCTCTCTCTCTCTCTCTCTCTCTCTCTCTCTCTCTCTCTCTCTCTCTTGGATACTATTAGTAGTCACCTGACTCCTCTCTCTCTCTCTCTCTCTCTCTCTTGAATACTATTAGTAGTCACCTGACTCACCACGTACATGGTCTCGTGCATGCAGCATTCCCAGTCATCGATACAAGAGGTGAAGAAGAGCAAGTGCGACGAAAGATTCAACAGTAAAGCTCACGCGAGATAGATCGATGAAGTCGAAAAAACTCGTGAAAGTTTGTCTTCTCATACATCAAATCATGAGAGTACACACACGGCACATTAGTGTCAATCTTCACCTAAGCTTTAAATCTGCGGCTTCCCCCTGCACTGTGTTTCAGTCGGTTGCCAACCGACCATCATTGGGGGGGGGGGTCCCACGTCAAATCATGAGAGTTCACACGCGCCACATTAGTGCCAATGTTCACCTTGAAACCTGCGGCTTCCCCCTACACTGCATTTCAGTCGGTAGCCAACCGACCGTCATCGGGCAAGGACTAACAAAGTAGAGGAAGTTAGTTAAATAGTAGCTAACCGTGTCTCTGGCCGCAGCTAGCGGTCAAACTCGAAAGCAGTCATCCAGTGTGTCAAAAGTTACTGAGTGATCTAGTGTGTGCAGCTGCTGAATTTACTTCCTCTGACAGTCTGCTCCGCTGGCCCCGTTCGGGCCAATCCCAAATACCCATTTACCAGGAAACTGGCCACACACATCCTGGTGTGTCTGGCCTCCCGACAGTGGGACGGTCGAGCGGGGAGTCCTGGGTAGGCCCACCGCTGCTGTAGCTTTAGCTCACTGGAGATTACGAGGTCGAGTCTAGGCGTTCCTAAAGCAATCACTTAGTGGGAAAGGAAGTGATCGAGCAATTACAACCAGGAGGTGGGATTGGAAGCAGCCATCCTTTGAAGAAAGCGTAATAGCTCACTGCTCTAGCTTCATCGAGCCGAAAATCTATCGGGGCTCAAGTGGTTCACCGAAGCGACGAGACTCAGTAGCTCTGAGATCGAATCTCGTCAGGCTCAGTGGGTTCAAACCAGTTGACACACACAATTATTTCCAGCAGTCTGGGATCTCTCTCACACAATTATTTCCAGCAGTCTGGGATCTCTCTCTCTCTCTCTCTCTCTCTCTCTCTCACACACAGAGTTCCAATTACCATCTAGTTGAGTATGTCTGAATTGAAGTGGACTTTTGCTTGAGGGTGCCATTATCAACTGGACAGAGTAAGTGACAGTCTGTCTGCAGTCTGCTTACAACAAGCTATTCGTGAAAAGTGGACCAAGAAAAAAGTCCAGTTTGCAAAGTCCGCAATGTTTTACATAGAAAACTATTTTCGGTCAAACACAATGTGACTCGAGGCTCATATGTCACCACAACTTTGAGGAAAACCTATTTTTAGCAAAACAGAAAAGCTTGTTAAAAAAAAAAAAAAAAAAAGGTTTTTATAGAAACTTAAGGATAGCCACTGTTGTGGTTATAAGAAGACGTATCCCCAATGGAACTGCGAAGACAACGAAACAGGAAAAGGGCCCTGCATGCATAGGGAGGGGCGCATGCATAGAGGGCCGCTAACATGGGGGCCCAGGGGGGGGGCCTGCAAGGACCCCGCATATGGGGGGACCCCTACATGCATATCTAGAGGGGGGCCTGTGCATGCAGGGGGGATGCCCATATGAGGGGCTCCGACATGTATGGGCCCCTGTGCACAGGGGAACCCGGAATGGACAAGCAGCAGGTACCTCATACCTGTATGTTTACCAAATTTCATCACAGTGACCAATTCCTATATCTCGATATGGGTCGGCCCCCTATGTGAGGCATATATGGGCCCCCGCGCATAGGGGTCCCTCATGCTTGCATGACCTCCACACATGCATTTTTCTTGGGGGGGTTGCATGCATGGGGGGCCCCAATGACCCCCATATATGGGGGACCCCGTATACGAGGGGGTCCTCATGTAAGGTGCACACATGCATGCCCCCCCCCACGTATGATGGCCCCTCATGTATGGTGGCCACCCATGTATGGCGGCCCCCCAGGCGCATGCATGCATTGGGTGGGGGCCATATATGCCCCCAATTCATAGATCTCAATGAGCAATAACAAACCGAAATTCGATACTTGTAAAATGCCATAAGCTTGATTTTGTTGTGATCCAGGGAAAAGTTCAATCCCAAATTGCACAACCAACCTCCCGCTGCCTTCAATCCCCCACCTTCCACTGCTTTCAATCCCCCATCTTCCCCCACCTTCCGCGGCCTTCAATCCCCCACCTTTCCCCGCCTTCCCCCCCGCCGCCTTCACCTTTCTCGGCCTTTTGGCTAAGATCAAGTGTAGTATCTGTTCTGATCAGTTTGACATATGATCCGTCGCCCATCGGGGTACTAAAAAATAATAATAATAATAATAAAATCTGCCACCTTCCTTTCCCTGCCTTCCCACACCTTGCCTCGCCTTCCCTCCCGTGCATTCCCCTGCCTTGCCCCGCCTGGCCTCCCCTGCTATCCCCCGGCCTGCTTTCCTGCACCCCGACTTGCCGCACCTCTGTTCTCCCCACGTAATCAGTCGTTTTTTAAACTGACCGATTACGTAATCGGTCAGTTTCAAGAACGACCGATTACATAATCGGCCGTTTTCGGAACTGGCCGATTACGTAATCGGTCGTTCTTGAAACTGACCGATTGATGTAGCTCAGTGGTTAGAGCACCAGTTGGAAATGCGCATTGTGGTATGAGGTTGCGGGTTCAAAACTCAATTGCAGCCTTGCGCATGGACACCGGCAGGGCGTTACAATGACGCACGGCTGGGCACATTCCCTTGGGCTGACGCACGGTAAGCTTATACAGAGGCTGCCTGCACACCACCCAAGGGTTGTCCATGGTGTTGTATGTTGGGTCTTGATGCTGCGTGGGTTGCTTGTGGCTGTTGCTCGTGGTTGTTCTGTTGATCTCCACAGTCTGGCATATCACACAGGGGCCGTTTGCGATAGTTGCTCAAATGGTAGAGTCTTCAGGTTACATGTCATAGATCACGGGTTCGAGTCTGGCTGGGGACTTTGGGGGGGGGTTCTTGTCCAGCTTGGCCTGTCATCTCTTCAAAACGAACACATAGTTCCCTCTACATAGCACTACACATATCTGGCCATCAGGCACATACATCTCGCCATACAGTTACACAGAGCACACATAGACTGCACATATCTGGCCTTCGGGCACATACATCTTTACAGGTATACAGAGCACACATAGCCTTCGGACAGATACAAAACACATGGTCCTATGGGCTCATNATATCTGGCCTTCGGGCACATACATCTTTACAGGTATACAGAGCACACATAGCCTTCGGACAGATACAAAACACATGGTCCTATGGGCTCATACAAACACACATAGCCTCTGGGCATACACACTCACACACAAATTACGATACTGCGCTGGGGAAGTCTATCAGGTATATGACGGGGTGTACTCAGGCATGTCTTAGCTCTAGGGTAGGGGTAGGGATATAAGTCGCTCTGAATAGTCTGAGCTCCGCCTAGCCTTGGGTAAGCTAGGGGAAGGACGGTAGGATGTGTCCACGGGCGCTGGCCTGCCTTGTTTAGGTAATCCTGCTGCGTAGACTCCCTGAATTGGGCCTGTAGAAGATTGGATGAGCCTCGCATCCGAAGCTCCCGTACGGCAAGGTTCGTCCACTTGCGCTTCCAGCAGGGCTGGGAGGCTGGCCCAGCCTTGGTGCTTGTCACTGTTGTCTGGTCCAAGTTGCCCTTGATACTGGTAGGGTGATGGTTCTGAGTGCTGGTCACACTGAGGTAGGATAGTAGGGACAGGGGTTGCACTGGGAGTATTAACGTGGGGATGGGTCGGGCAGGTGGCCTATCCTGTCAGGACAACCATTGGCTGCCGC